GTATTTGTACCTTTTCATAACCGAATGTTTTAAACAGAACAGTAAAATAAAAGCCTGGAGACGAGACGGGGTGTGTGGAGTCAGTACAGCTTAGAACATATCATTCATTCCTTAACTACACTCTTAGCAAAAAGGGTTCTATATAGTACCAAAATATTTGGTTTGTAACAATAGTGGAACTCTTTTTGGTGCTATACAGAACCATATATAGAACATTTACATGATGCAGAGAACCATTTAATCATGCAGAGGGTTATTTGAGTGTTCATGGTTCCATATAGGATTGTTGTCTTTACTAAAGAACCCTTGAAGAACCATCTTTTTTAAGAGTGTAAAGTTACTTTTTATTCTGAGAGTGTATATTTGAACTAGCCGAGCCCAAAATGGCAAAACATTAGGCATTAAGATGGCTCTTCAAGGGTTCTTTATTAAAGACAATGGTTCTATATAGAACCATGAACACTCAAAAAAGTATTTGCATGCTTAAATGTATCTTATTTAGTACCAAAAAGTGTTTTTCTGTTGGTGCGATATCAAGCTTGTAACTATAGCAGAACCATATTTGGTGCTATATAGAAAAAAATTCAAAAAGGTTCTATATAGAACCATATACAACACTCCATCAGTCTGAAGAACCATTTCTCTGTGTTGTACTTTAGTGTGTAAATGTTCAGACAGGCTCAGAAAGAAGAGTCAGTATTGATCCACTCAGCACTGACGGCTTCACACAGCTGAAAAACACTGCTGAGCTGGTTTGAGTTTAATGTGAGACCAAGTTTCACTATAGGGTTTAAGTCTGGACTCTGACCAGCCAGAACCAGCAGAAACAACCATTATATTTTGGGCTTGGACCTTTTTTTTTGTATGTGATGTTTTGCAACCACTGACTGCCCATAGCAGTACCACCACAGACCACTAGAGGGCCTCATTCTACAGATCGAGAACCTCTGTTCTAGAGAAAAAGCTAAAACTCTGAACTTCACAAACAGAAGAACCTTAATCTAAACATTGGGCCACACCTGCAGTTACAGACCGTATATAACATGATGCTCCACTGGACTGTAGATGTAAACTGTGTATGAAATCAGTGTTAATCTGCCCCAGAGATAATCTGGATTAAGTAAACTTATCTTTTAAAAGATGTTTTTTCAAGGGTTCTTTAATAAAGAAAATGGTTCTATGTAGAACCATGAACACTCAAAGAACCCTTTGAATGATTAAAGGGTTCTGTGCATCATGAAAGGGTTCTTCAACAGTTCTATATAGAACCTTTTTGAAAGGGGTTCTAAATAGCACTAAAAGGCTTCTGTTATTGTTAATATCAAGACTGAACTCTTTCTGGTGCTATGTAGAACCCTTTTCAAGAGGGTTCTGTGTAGAACCATCTACAGCACATTCTCTATCAATTTGAAGAACCACTTCATGATGCAATGATCACTTCAATCATGCAAAGGTTTTTTCTTGAGTGTTCTTGGTTCTATATAGAACCATTTTCCTTACTAAAGAACCCTTGAAGAACCTCCTTTCTTAAGTGTGTGGTTTAATTATGAGTTATAAAGAGAGGTGCTAATCCTGCACTGTCGGTTCTGATAGTTCAGGAAATAAATGGGTTCTGTTCATTAGACTGGAATCTAAATGTTCTCCTCAGTTACAGAACAGATGAGAACTCCATTAGATCCAGCCTCAAACTCCTCCATCCCAAGATGAGACTCACTGAGAGCTGGAATCCTGTTAGTCTTCGAGGCTTCAGAACTGAAGATCTGAATGGTTTAAAGCTCTGATCTGTGACTCATTAACATAAATAATACAGGAGCCTTTTAAACAATAATATAAACAGATTTTAAACATTTATTCACACTTTACATTCCAACAAACTGTACAGCAGAACATTAATGAGGGATCATAACACAGAGGCCTGAAGCAGCTGACTCAGTAAAACTACAGTTCATACATCATCTGATGTGACCTGAGTGAACAGCAGCAGACCGTCGCTGACCAAAACAACCTCCATTTTTATTTTTATCTTCTACATCGTTTGAGCTCAGCAGCTGCTCTTTACATCCTGTGAAAGATTCTTGATGAAGGGATCAATAGAAACGCTCCAAAACTGCTTGGAATAAAATCTAGTAATCTAAGTAAACACTTTATTTGGAGCGGTCCTTTATAGATGATTAATAAACTCTTAACAGATTATCGGTAACAGTCAACAAGATATCAGTGCGGTATCAGTAGTGAAGCATCTGAATACACTGAAGTAAATATCCTGTAGATGCTCTGTAGATACATTACTTACATTAAGTAGATGTGTTGTTAATATGTTGCTTCCATTACTCAGAACCTAACCCTCATCCTGGCCCTAATCCTAACCCTAACCTCAACCCAAAACCTAATCCTAACCCTCACCTTGGCCCTAATCCTAACCCTAACCTCAACCCAAAACCTAATCCTAACCCTCACCTTGGCCCTAATCCTAACCCTAATATGTGTTTGTCATGTTACTGAGAGTCTGTTGAGTGTTGTTTAATCTTAAAGGACCCTCAGAATAAAGTATCACCTAAACTCTCTTTACATTAAAGGTGCAGTAAGCGATTTGAATCCAGTACACTGTTTGTCAAAATCAGTGAAATCTCCTCACGGTCAACAAAGTTTCTTAGACTGAATGACACAACACTATTCCAGCCAATCAGCAACAGTGGTGCTTGTGCTCGTGCACAGGACAGGGGGAAGGGGCGGGACTTGAAGCTGCTCCATGCATTGTCATAAGGAGAGATGGAGAGAAACAGCCAAAGAGGAGAAGATCTGAAGAACAAAGATTGAGGTGAGGGAGTTTCAGCGGCGGAGAATTCCGAGAGCTGAAGGCATGAAAACGGATGAGGAGGCTGCTCTGACAGGTGGGTTACTAACTTACTTTGAGTTCAAATACCAACAATCTTCCTCCAGAATCGCTTACTGTACCTTTAACGTACATTAGCTGTGATGAACGTCTCTGCCCTCTTCTGTAAAGTGACTGTTTCAGAGATGGTTGTTCTTCTCTGGACAGTGATGAAGAGATGATGTTTGGTTGTAAAGGCCTTTAATCGTGTCTCTGTTCATTTTACTGCAGTTTACTGTTCAGTCCTGCTAGTTCTCTCACTCTCTTCTCATTAAAGCTAACAATCGGATATTTCATCTTTAGCTATCAGAATATCCCTGAAAACATTTACCCCATGACTCCGCCCCCTGCCCCCTCCCCTGTATAAACTGTCCTTGTTGGGTTTTTGTGTCTTTGTGAGGTTTTTCCAGCTTGTTAACCTGTTTTTTCCTGTTTTTGGCTCCAGCACTCAGGATCACGAGGATCATCTCCAAAACAGTGATTCCTCTTCATCCACTGAGCTTTAAAGCCCCCCAAACCCCCCAGAACTGAACAACAAACACGGCTCAGTATTAATGTAGGACAGAGTTCAGCTCCTCTGTTTTCACAGCTTTTCACCACAAACTCTTGTAGTTTATTAGGTGCAATTTTTTCTTCTTAGACCGACTTTCAAAAAACCTTCTTCCTGTTGCCACAGCGATGCGGTCAGTGTTACAGGAAGTGGAAACTGGCTTTCAACAAGGTCAGTCAAATGATTATAAATTGGCAGGAACTGTTCAGTTCTGTAAAAATGTCACTGTTGGAATGAAACCTGTTCTCTCTGACTTCACTGCCCAGTTTAAAACACCAGCTGCTCTGTACAAGTTGGAATTTCACGATGAGCAACAGAATAAAATCCAGTTAAATCCAGTTACACTAACTTACACTGAGGCAGTGTTTTGTTGCTCTTTTGGAGATGCGAGGTTTAGTTCCAACAGTGATGGTTTGTTTCTGCAGTGAAGCGTTTAATTAATAATTTATAAATCCTACTTATTTCACATTAAATACCTCAGCGTTTCCCTGTGAGGTCAAAGTTTAGTCCACTAACTATCCTGAGAGTGAACACACACTGCTGAAGATGTAGCTGCTTTCTTGGTCGTGGATTAAAGTCTAGTCTCGGTCTAAACTGCAGCAGCAACTGTGATTCACCTTTAAAATCCTGTTTAGTCTGGATTCAAGTTTAGGGGCAGATTTACAAACACAAAATAAGATCACGGCCTCATTTGCATATTCATTTAAACTCGCATAGATTATTCTAATGAAGCAAACGTGTATTTTCCGCGCTAACATGGCTGATGTGGTTGCTGCTCTGAGACGCTCTTCCTCTGAAACACTTTCTGCAGGTAAGAAGAGTCAGCTGTAGTTTTTATTCTGTTCCTGGCAGCGTTGGGTTCCCATCTTTCACTTCTTCAAACTTAGAATTATTATGATTGACAAAATAAACAATTACTTATTTATGTTGAGAGAATGAGTTACTGAATTTCAGGGTGCACCAAAATTTCAACTGCAGAAAATTCATCTGTTTGACCATTTTAGACTGAAAATCTGAAAAAAAGGCCAAAAGACCCTCAAAATCCAAAAGCAGTCTTCAAATAACCTTAATGATAATGAAAATGAACACGACTAAAAATACTGTTTTCTTTTGTGCTGGTCAGAACAGACATGTCTGATCAGCAGATCAACAGTGAAAATATCACAGTTGCTACAAGAGACATCAGACACCAGAGTCCAATCTCTGTTCAGCTCTGTGGAGCATCAAGACTCCCAAGAAGCTCTCCACTGCAGATCTGATAGAACCTGGAAACATGACTGAAGTGACAGCATACACTCTTAAAAAAGATGGTTCTTCAAAGGTTCTTTAGTAAAGCGGATGGTTGTATGTAGAACAATGAACACTCAAAGAACCATAGATGGTTCTCTGTATGGTGAAATGGTTCTTTCAATTGATGGAGAATATGCTGTATATGATTCTATATGGCACTAAAAAGGGTTTTTCTAACCTTTTTTGGTGCTAGATAGAACACTTTTCAAAAAGGTTCTATACAGAACCATCTACAGCACATTCTCCATCAACCTGAAGAACACTTTGATGATGCAAAGAACCATTCAATCATGCATAGGGTTCTTGGAGTGTTCATGGTTCTGTATAGAACCATTTTCCTTATTAAAACTTAAAGAACCATGTTTTTAAAGAGTGTAGCCTCACTGTGTCTAATGGACACTGAGACGTGTAGAATCTGCTTTTCAGAGATGCAGCTCACTCTTTAACACTCTGAGCTAAACAGGTTAGCCTGGTCAGCGTTTCTGCTCAGCTGGAGTAAAAACTGAAGAAGTGAAATATTATAAATTTGTTTGCTTAAAGCTGATATTTTCTTTCAAATATTTGAGTCTAATGTGAGGTTAGTTAATAAAGACAGACGCTGGCTGAGTGCTGGGCGTTTCTGGCCTCCATGCTTTTAAAACCAATCAAGCTTCCTGTCTGCCTGCTCTCACTTCCACACGCCCACCACTGACCGGCTGACCGAGCGACGCTGAGCGATTTTATCACCGGCGGTGTTCACACTGAGTCACAGTGTGATGACCTGCTGCTCTCTGCTGTCTGTGATCGTTTTATTACGTTATTTATCTAAACTGTGTTTATTTACGGTGGGTTTGTTCACTTTATCAGTAATATAATTTTCCTTAATAACCTGTTTAGAACAAAAGCTAAAAAGGCAAAGAAAACATCATTTATGTTCAGTGCATCTCTACTGAAACTGAAATGAAACTTTCTCCAAGATTAATAACTCAAACTCAAAAACAGGTCATTATTTTAAGATAAATGTCAAGTTTTTTTAACATAAAATGTCAAAAAATGCCAGAAACTAAGTAGGAATATAGCAAATAAGAATGATTTTGCACCTGTGTTCATTACCTTTAAAGTTCTCTGCTAAACAGGCCACGCCCACCGACCTGTCATTGGTGAGTGGCACCTGGTTTAGTAAATCTGCCCCTAAACTGCCCCTTTTTCATCTCCTATTACAAAATACGTCTGATCTTATCTCTCAAACCTACGGAATTCGTAAACTATAGCTGTACATTAGAAACTCGCTCAGTCTTTAGCCACACAGTCTGCGCTGGACTAAAGGGCACTCGTGTCCTATGAGATGTGTCCAGCGTCCTGGTTGCCCTCTGCTTTTTGAGGAGATGGTGCTGCTGCTTCCTGAGCTTCTTCATCAGCTACAGTCTCGGTCGTGGGGCAGTCGGCTGGTGTGTTACCGCCTTCACCATCAGAGGGCGCCGCTATCACCGCCCCCTGCTGATCAGGAATTTGAGACTTAGACTTGAGGAACCCAACCTAGGTGAGAGTCCAATAAATGCATCAACCAGTCAATCAGTCAGTCTCCAGGTAACCTAAACATCAGATGATTCAGCCAGAAATCACACTTTCCAAAGTTTCTCTCCTCAAACGTGCTCAGTGTCTGAAGTGCTGCTGCAGCTTTAGCCCAGGAGCTCTAAATGGAGGCTAATGTAGCTAACAAGGAATGGAACAAACCTTGTATCTCTAAAATTATAACTTTACAGAAGAAGGAAAAAACATACTTTACTACTAAAATCAAAAGCCACGTTTACATGCAGCCTGATAATCCGTCAATAATCCAACTAATATCTGAGTTGGAATAGAATACGTCCATGTAAACACCTCGATCGGAATAGTCTAGTCTGATTGAGTCCATTCAGAATACAGTGTCTATCTGATTGATCCAGGCGGGTAATCCTGTAAATAATCCGTTAAATAGAAGAATAATATCCGTGTAAACGCCTGTATCTGATTACATTCCCTATCGGAAAGTTTAAGTCCGTTCTGATCATGTTCGTCGCGTCATAGTGAAAGTTTATACCGTTCAACATGGCGGAGCAGAAACTGGTCTGCAGAGGAGACGAAGTTTATGCTCTGATCTTTAAAACACTCACCTTGTACAGCAGGTAGAAGATTACGGCCATGGCTAATAAACCAAAGAAGATGGACAGAGAGGCAATCAGAACCGTCTGAGCCTGTGATGGAGACTCCACCTCCGTCACTATCTACACAGGAGAGAGAGAGAGAGAGAGACAGAGAGAGAGAGATATAGAGAGACAGAGAGAGAGAGAGAGAGACAGAGACAGACAGAGAGACAGAGAGAGAGAGAGATAGAGAGAGAGAGAGAGAGAGATAGACAGAGAGAGAGATAGAGAGACAGAGAGAGAGAGAGATAAAGAGACAGAGAGCTGTGTGACTGTAGATCATTGAGGCTGGTTTGTGTGCTGTATTAACTGTGTAATAGCTGTGTAATAAATGCTGAATAATAACGTTGTGTTGTGTGTTAAGTCTCACCGAGAGCTGCAGAGCTTCTTCATTCAGAAACTGAGTGTAATGATGTTCATCAAACAACACGAATCCCCAACTCACTACAGCTACCTGCACTCCACTCACCTGTACAGGAGGAAAAAACACACGTCACACCTGCAGTCAGAGATACAGCAGCACTACACAGTGCAGCACCTTCAGCAGCGCCAGATCACAGCACATTTAAATAGTAAACAACTCAGATATTTAGCCCCGCCCACTCTGCATACAGCAGTTTAGCCCCACCATTCAACTACAGCAGTTTAGCTCCACCATTCAGCTACAGCAGTTTAGCTCCACCATTCAGCTACAGCAGTTTAGCCCCACCCATTCAGCCTACAACAGTTTAGCCCCACCCATTCAGCCTACAACAGTTTAGCCCCACCCATTCAGCCTACAATAGTTTAGCCCCACCATTCAGCTACAGCAGTTTAGCCCCACCCATTCAGCCTACAATAGTTTAGCCCCACCATTCAGCTACAGCAGTTTAGCCCCACCCATTCAGCCTACAATAGTTTAGCCCCACCATTCAGCTACAGCAGTTTAGCCCCACCCATTCAGCCTACAACAGTTTAGCCCCACCCATTCAGCTACAGCAGTTTAGCCCCACCCATTCAGCCTACAATAGTTTAGCCCCACCATTCAGCCTACAACAGTTTAGCCCCACCCATTCAGCTACAGCAGTTTAGCCCCACCATTCAGCTACAACAGTTTAGCCCCACCCATTCAGCTACAGCAGTTTAGCCCCACCATTCAGCTACAGCAGTTTAGCCCCACCCATTCAGCCTACAACAGTTTAGCCCCACCCATTCAGCTACAGCAGTTTAGCCCCACCATTCAGCTACAGCAGTTTAGCCCCACCCATTCAGCCTACAACAGTTTAGCCCCACCCATTCAGCTACAGCAGTTTAGCCCCACCATTCAGCTACAACAGTTTAGCCCCACCATTCAGCTACAGCAGTTTAGCCCCACCCATTCAGCTACAGCAGTTTAGCCCCACCATTCAGCTACAGCAGTTTAGCCCCACCCATTCAGCCTACAACAGTTTAGCCCCACCCATTCAGCTACAGCAGTTTAGCCCCACCATTCAGCTACAACAGTTTAGCCCCACCATTCAGCTACAGCAGTTTAGCCCCACCCATTCAGCCTACAACAGTTTAGCCCCACCCATTCAGCCTACAACAGTTTAGCCCCACCCATTCAGCCTACAACAGTTTATCCCCACCATTCAGCTACAGCAGTTTAGCCCCACCCATTCAGCCTACAACAGTTTAGCCCCACCCATTCAGCCTACAACAGTTTAGCCCCACCATTCAGCTACAGCAGTTTAGCTCCACCATTCAGCTACAGCAGTTTAGCCCCACCATTCAGCTACAACAGTTTAGCCCCACCATTCAGCTACAGCAGTTTAGCCCCACCATTCAGCTACAGCAGTTTAGCCCCACCCATTCAGCCTACAACAGTTTAGCCCCACCCATTCAGCTACAGCAGTTTAGCCCCACCCATTCAGCCTACAATAGTTTAGCCCCACCATTCAGCCTACAACAGTTTAGCCCCACCCATTCAGCTACAGCAGTTTAGCCCCACCATTCAGCTACAACAGTTTAGCCCCACCATTCAGCCTACAACAGTTTAGCCCCACCCATTCAACTACAGCAGTTTAGCCCCACCATTCAGCTACAGCAGTTTAGCCCCACCCATTCAGCTACAGCAGTTTAGCCCCACCATTCAGCTACAGCAGTTTAGCCCCACCCATTCAGCCTACAATAGTTTAGCCCCACCATTCAGCTACAGCAGTTTAGCCCCACCCATTCAGCCTACAACAGTTTAGCCCCACCCATTCAGCTACAGCAGTTTAGCCCCACCATTCAGCCTACAACAGTTTAGCCCCACCCATTCAGCTACAACAGTTTAGCCCCACCATTCAGCTACAGCAGTTTAGCCCCACCCATTCAGCCTACAACAGTTTAGCCCCACCCATTCAGCCTACAGCAGTTTAGCCCCACCCATTCAGCTACAACAGTTTAGCCCCACCATTCAGCCTACAATAGTTTAGCCCCACCATTCAGCCTACAGCAGTTTAGCCCCACCATTCAGCCTACAGCAGTTTAGCCCCACCCATTCAGCTACAGCAGTTTAGCCCCACCCATTCAGCCTACAATAGTTTAGCCCCACCATTCAGCTACAGCAGTTTAGCCCCACCCATTCAGCCTACAACAGTTTAGCCCCACCCATTCAGCTACAGCAGTTTAGCCCCACCATTCAGCCTACAGCAGTTTAGCCCCACCCATTCAGCTACAACAGTTTAGCCCCACCATTCAGCTACAGCAGTTTAGCCCCACCCATTCAGCCTACAACAGTTTAGCCCCACCCATTCAGCCTACAACAGTTTAGCCCCACCATTCAGCTACAGCAGTTTAGCCCCACCCATTCAGCCTACAACAGTTTAGCCCCACCCATTCAGCCTACAACAGTTTAGCCCCACCCATTCAGCCTACAACAGTTTAGCCCCACCATTCAGCTACAGCAGTTTAGCCCCACCCATTCAGCCTACAACAGTTTAGCCCCACCCATTCAGCCTACAACAGTTTAGCCCCACCATTCAGCTACAGCAGTTTAGCCCCACCATTCAGCTACAGCAGTTTAGCCCCACCATTCAGCTACAGCAGTTTAGCCCCACCCATTCAGCTACAGCAGTTTAGCCCCACCATTCAGCTACAGCAGTTTAGCTCCACCATTCAGCTACAGCAGTTTAGCTCCACCATTCAGCTACAGCAGTTTAGCGCCACCATTCAGCTACAGCAGTTTAGCCCCACCCATTCAGCCTACAACAGTTTAGCCCCACCATTCAGCTACAGCAGTTTAGCTCCACCATTCAGCTACAGCAGTTTAGCCCCACCATTCAGCTACAGCAGTTTAGCCCCACCATTCAGCTACAGCAGTTTAGCTCCACCATTCAGCTACAGCAGTTTAGCCCCACCCATTCAGCCTACAACAGTTTAGCCCCACCCATTCAGCCTACAACAGTTTAGCTCCACCGTTCAGCTACAGCAGTTTAGCTCCACCATTCAGCCTACAACAGTTTAGCCCCACCCATTCAGCTACAGCAGTTTAGCCCCACCCATTCAGCCTACAACAGTTTAGCCCCACCCATTCAGCCTACAACAGTTTAGCTCCACCATTCAGCTACAGCAGTTTAGCCCCACCCATTCAGCCTACAACAGTTTAGCCCCACCCATTCAGCCTACAACAGTTTAGCTCCACCGTTCAGCTACAGCAGTTTAGCTCCACCATTCAGCCTACAACAGTTTAGCCCCACCCATTCAGCTACAGCAGTTTAGCCCCACCCATTCAGCTACAGCAGTTTAGCCCCACCCATTCAGCCTACAACAGTTTAGCCCCACCATTCAGCTACAGCAGTTTAGCGCCACCATTCAGCTACAGCAGTTTAGCCCCACCATTCAGCTACAACAGTTTAGCCCCACCATTCAGTCTACAGCAGTTTAGCCCCACCCATTCAGCCTACAACAGTTTAGCCCCACCCATTCAGCCTACAACAGTTTAGCTCCACCGTTCAGCTACAGCAGTTTAGCTCCACCATTCAGCCTACAACAGTTTAGCCCCACCCATTCAGCTACAGCAGTTTAGCCCCACCCATTCAGCCTACAACAGTTTAGCCCCACCCATTCAGCCTACAACAGTTTAGCCCCACCCATTCAGCCTACAACAGTTTAGCCCCATCCATTCAGCTACAGCAGTTTAGCTCCACCATTCAGCTACAGCAGTTTAGCTCCACCCATTCAGCTACAGCAGTTTAGCTCCACCATTCAGCTACAGCAGTTTAGCTCCACCATTCAGCTACAGCAGTTAAGCTCTGCCCATTCTGCCTACAGCAGTGTAGCCCTGACCATTCATCCTGGTTTACTTTTTGAATGAAGAGTACAGGGCAGCCAATCAGAACAGAGCTCATTTGCATATATCAGTCTTAAAGGTACAGTAACACCACCAGCCTGTTTAACTGTAAGGAATAAAGAGAGGCTGGAAAATGATCATGTAGAAATGAATTATGACTGTTTATAACACACAAACAGTAACATATAGACAGTAAAATATAAACATAGAGGATATGTTTGTTATTACATTGCTATAGAAAGATAGAGTGTGCTGCAGGCTGTAGTGTTGCTGAGGGAGGTGATCAGTAAAGTCAGGTGATTTTACCTTCGTCTGACTGGTAATATCACCTCTGAACTGGAAGCTGATTGGCTGGTCGCTGGATAACAGCTGAACGCTGCAGTCAGTCAGTTGGCAACTGGAGCCGTTACAGTACTGTCGGGGTGGTAGGGAGGGACATGAGTCACCACAGCAACACACATCCGAAATCAAGGCAACCAACATCTGAGCAAGAGCGATATGGATTAGTCACCTGAGTGTGGACTGACTGGTTGTTCCTGGGCATCTTTGAAATTGTACACATCACTCCAGAACTGGTCTAGCACACAAACACAGAGCAGAAGAGGAAGTGAGGAAATGAGGGGGGGGTTTGTGGGAACATTGGGTAACATGTACGCCCTGACAGTCATGAGAAATATTACAGCTTCACAGTTTCATCCTGTGACTGGATCAGTCACCTCTAAACTACCACAGTAAACACACACACATTTATCCATATATATACAGATATACACACACACTGACCGGTCACTTCATTAAAACCACCTCCTTGTTTCTACGCTCACTGTCCACTGTATCAGCTCCACTGACCATATATTTCACTCTGTAGTTCTGCAGTTACAGACTGTAGTCCATCTGATTCTCTGCATACTTTGTTACCCTGTTCTTCAGTGGTCAGGACCCCCATGGACCCTCACAGAGCAGGTACTATTTGGGTGGTGGGTCATTCTCAGCACTGCAGTAACACTGTGGTGGTGTGTGTTAGTGTGTGTTGTGCTGGTGCGAGTGGATCAGACACAGCAGTGCTGCTGAAATTTTTAAACACTGTGTCCACTCACTGTCCACTCTATTAGACACTCCTACCTTGTCAGTCCACCTTGTAGATGTAAAGTCAGAGACGATAGCTCATCTGCTGCTGCACAGTTTGTGTTGGTCATCCTCTAGTCCTTCATCAGTGGTCACAGGACGCTGCCCACAGGACGCTGTTGGCTGGATATTTTTGGTTGGTGGACTATTCTCAGTCCAGCAGTGACACTGAGGTGTTTAAAAACTCCAGCAGCACTGCTGTGTCTGATCCACTCAGACCAGCACAACACACACTAACACGCCACCACCACGTCAGTGTTACTGCAGTGCTGAGAATGACCCACCACCCAAATAGTACCTGCTCTGTGAGGGTCCATGGGGGTCCTGACCACTGAAGAACAGGGTAAAAAGGGGCTAACAAAGTATGCAGAGAAACAGATGGACTATAGTCTGTAACTGTAGAACTACAGAGTGAAATATACGGTCAGTGGAGCTGATAAAGTGGACAGTGAGTGTAGAAACAAGGGGGTGGTTTTAATAAAGTGGCCGTCTGGTATATAAATAAATACTGACCTTCCTGTCCTGTGTGAGAACTGAAACAGCAGAACGATTTAAAGCTGCCTTTTACTCACACTTTCATTTTTAGTACGTGTGTATTTTCAACTTCTGAAATATTGATCTATTAACTGGGCCTCGTGATCATGGAATTATAGCTCACAGTTAATTGCATAAAAAATTGCACGTAAAACTGACCGAGTCAGAACTGTTCACAGTGGTGGTGATAGGAACCAGACGTCCACCTCTAAAAGCTCCCTCACAGAAAGTTCCTACATGAAATGGTTATGAATTCACTGCCTGATGACTGAGACACTGTTTTATGATAGTTTAGAGAACTTAAACTCCATTCATGGTGGAGGGATACATGCAGGGCGCTGTGAGGCAAAATAGTCCCCAAAGAAAACTTATTATTTCAGATTTTCCACTATTTTCCATCATCAACATTCCATATAGACTCAGAAGACTCGTGTAGGTTCACTGGTGGTTCTGGATAGTAAATAAAATGTCTATATTTGTGTTGTAGTCATGGCGACCCCTGGTTCCTATCACAACCACTGTAAAGACATCTGAACCATTTCACACCAAACCACTCTGAATCTGTCTGTTTACACCTCACACACTGGATTATGGGGGAATTTGGAAAAACCGGTGGAATCTGAATATCTACTGTCTCAGTGTATACGTTTTCCGCTTTCTGATTGATTATCTTATATAGAAACGCAGTAAAACTTATAGTTTACCGCTGCATTAAAGGTGTTTTGATTCTGCCGGTCACAAAATAACTCTAATAAAGTCTGTTTCTGATCCATGCAGGTGTTCAGTGTTCCAGAAATGTTGATTATACCCATCACACACTCAGAAAAGAGCATGACAATCAAATTTATCACAATGACAGTAACATGTCATCACGTTACCCAGCCGTGATCAGATCTCTGAATGAAAATCTGTTTATTTGAGTTAATTACAGTAGTTCAGTAGTTCAGTAGCTCTGGTTACTGAACTTAATAGTAAATAAAACTCTGAACTCACAACAGCAGGTTGAGGAACATCCCATAAAAACCCAGAGCTCATCTCCAATGGCAACACGAACTGCACACGGACGGGGATGGACAACTCGCCCAGATTCACCAGCTGAGAGAGAGAGAGAGGGGGAGAGAGAGAGAGAGAGGAGAGAGAGAGAGAGAGAGAGAGAAGGACAGAGAGAGAGAGAAGGACAGGGAGATAGAGAGAGACAGAGAAGGACAGAGAGAGGGAGAGAGAGAAGGACAGAGAGAGAGAGAGAGAGAGAGAGAGAGACAGAGAGAGAGACAGAGAGACACAGAGAGAGAGAGAGACAGAGAGAGAGAGAGAGAGACAGAGAGAGAGAGAGAGAGAGACAGAGAGAGAGAGAGAGAGATAAGGACAGAGAGAGAGAGAGAGACAGAGAGAGAGAGAGAGAGGGAGAGAGAGAAGGACAGAGAGAGAGAGAGGGAGAGAGAGAGAGAGAGAGAAGGACAGAGAGAGAGAGAGAGAGACAGAGAGACAGAGAGAGAGACAGAGAGACACAGAGAGAGAGAGAGACAGAGAGAGAGAGAGAAGGATAGAGAGAGAGAGAGAGAGAGAGAGAGTATTATGTCTTGTTGGTGGGATTATCGTCCTTTTCTCGTAGTAAGTGTGCAGATGAAGGTGTTACCTTAAACGTGTGATTGATTAAAGAGCTCTGATCGTAACTGATATACTGTGTGGATCCATCACTGAAAATAAACACAGACATAATATTACAATATTCATACTGCAGCTTCAGAAACTGAATAAACTGCAGCACAAAGCACGTCGAATAATAAGAGACAGATAATTAAGTGTTTAAATATAGATATAAATTAATTAATATTAATATTAATATAAAGCTTTGGCAATACAAGTGTTAATATTTGTCATGCCAATAAAGCAACATTGAATTGAATTGAATTATAATATACTGTATAAATTACTGTATAGCTGACTGAATACAGGCTGTATAAGTGATTAAATAATAGTGCAGTAACTCATTTCCTTACTTTTCCAGCTGAAAGTTGACGAGTTGTTTAACCGGCACGGACACGGCGGCGGTGTTGTCATGGAGACTCCCGTTATTTTCGTTTTTACTGTAATACAAACAGCATTAGCATTTTAGCTCACATCAGACAAAACTAGCTTCATGTTCTAAAACATGAAAAAAACATGAAAAAAGTTCTGGAAATCCTGAAACCGTGTTTAATAAAAGTCCAGCTGAACAGATTTTTTTTATTTTTGAAAGAAAATTGAAAAGAATTCAGTGGTGTGCTTTTATTTTGAAAGTCATCTAGCAATATAACATTGCGTCTGAGATCTGTCCATTTCAGAGATAAATTTCATTCATTTCAGTTGTGATGGCTGCGATTGTGTGAGCGACACTCAGTGTCCAGTTTGAACTTTGACACACAGATTTGTACCAATAGCACAACTGCTTTCCCTGTGCTGACCTCTGAAAGGGCGGGGCTTCATCTATCAGCAGTAGATGGATTAAATGCTAATATTACACAGTGTCTAATCACGTCTCGTTACGTAGCTCTTCCAGACTGGCTCTAAATGAACACATGAACATATCTGACGGTATATTTACTTTAGTGATTTTATTGTTTACGGTCGGTGAGTTTAAAGGAGCAACGTGTCAGATAACGCAACCTGTCAAACTCATCCTCCACACAGTCGCTCCTCCCTCTTCACTCCTCCCCTCCTTACCAGTCTAGAAGAAACGCTGCGAGTTCTGCATCTAAGTTCATCCCTGTACTGACCAAGAGCTGCAGCAGTGGAGAGCAGCGCCAATGCTAACTCTTGTTTTTTTTTTTTTTAATGCTATTTGTGTCACTCCTTTTCTTGCCAGGAGCGGCTACTTCTTTATCCTCTCATGTTGTCATGATGGCAAATTTGATACTACAGTGACTCACTATCGCCTCTTGAGGAATAAAATGGTATCACGAGACAGGACTGGAAAAGGCTAGCTGGTTAGCATGCTAACTTCAGTAGAAATCTCTGCAACACGGTACACAGTCTTTGACTTAACGTCAGCAGTGTTATTTCTGCACATTCTGTTGAAAATTTTTGTTAATTTTGGAATCTTTTGAACTAAACATCTTACAAACTGCCCCTTTAACCCTGCTAGAAAACCAGCAAAACCACCATATGTTATAGCAGACCAGCACTAAACCAGATTACACAAGTTAAGACCAACATGCTGGCCTGTGCTGTTTTTCAGCAGGGATCATCTTGCTAACTGCTAGGTTAGCTGCTTGGCTAACCGCTGCATTGCTTTGCCCCTCTGTGCAGCTCTGTGCTCTTGCAGGTGTGTAATTATCTGCACGTTATCTTTAGTTTTGTGTTTTTGCTGTTTTGGTGCCAAATGCACTAAATGGAGGATTATTTTCACAGAGAAGCTTCCGGTCGAGCTGTGGTCGCACAGTGCAATGCAACTGCACAACTGTAGCGTGACTGCAGCTTTATTCTGAGAACAGAGAAGAGGGTCAGAAACCACAGCGTTCTGTTTGTGATGAACTACTCAAACGAAAATACAGAGGCTTGAAGGCTTCAGCAAGATTTTGGCTTTGGAAGACAAAGATCTTACATTTTTAAATGTCATTTTTAGCCCTTCTTTAAAAACAAATAAATTATTTAATCAAAAAATAGTGTTCATTACTGCTCTGATCATTATGTGAAACAGAAACCTGCTGTTTGGGTCCTGACTGAATAATAGAGTGAATCTGTGGGTTCTGAAGCCTAAGATCAGCAGAGAACCCTATTATATCACTGCTAGACAAAACAGCATAAACCAGTACGGCTGCTCAGCAGAAAAACCAGCAAATGTTGTGCTTTAGATGCTGGTATGCTGATCAACCAGCATGACCATGCTGGGGTGACCTGCTAAACCAGCACCAAACCAGCATAAAGCAGTTTAGATCAGCATAGACCAGCATGGAATTCAAACTGGTCTGTACAGGTTTTTAGTTTTCTGACCTCATGACAGATGCGTTCACGGTCAGTCGGTCACTCAGAGCTGACGGGTCGGACACTCGGAATGTCAGGTTCAACACAGCCTTCAGAGCAAAACAGAAAACAGTGTTACTGATTTCATTTAAAGACAGTTTGTTCAGCCTTGGTGCCATGTTAGCGGTTAGCTGTTAGCGGTTAGCTGTACCTTGGCTTTCTGTCTGAAGATGGCAACGCCGAGTTTGCAGGTAGTTTGCGTGACTTTCATTAGTCCTGTTTCATTAGACACACACCACGCATGGCCACTGGACTCCAGCTGAGAAACAGGAACATTACATTATACATTAAAAATATGTTTTTAATGGTTAATTCCTCTAGAGAGGCTTATTATGATCATTAGGATTCACATCTTTACATTGGAACATTTCACACTTTCTCAGTGTTTACATTAAACAGTGATTTGTGGGACGCTACGTAGCGGCTTAGCTTTGTACCTCACAAATGAGCTTTAACCTACTAGTAGATTGATAGTAGTGGCCAAAAATGTAAAATTAACTAAATAAAACTGCAACAATAACTAATTTCTTTTCATTTCTAATAATATCTAATAATATCTATCTAATATCTGAGTGGATGTTAGCTTGCTGGCTAAGCTAGCGCTCTACTGTCCTCCCTGTTAGAAAAGCTAGCATATGTTTGGATGTGTTTTGTAACGTGTTTTGGATGCTGGTGTGCTGGTCAACCAGCATTACCCAGCCTGGCTTTCATGCTGGTCTGCACTGTTTTTTTTCATCAGGGCTGGTTAGCACTAGACGCTAGCTCTAGCTTATCTGGCAGGCTGCTCCACAGTACAGCACAGGTTTGAAACTGGCTAACTGAAGCTCCAGTGACACAGTGTTTAGAGGATAGACGCTCAACTCAGAGACAGTGACCCTAAGCTGAGGTGTGTGGAGATGTTAGCCTGCTAGCTAAGCTACAAAAATAGCTTGAACAAAAGTACATATAAGTACATGTTTACAAATAACAGCGTGTCATACAGGGTCACAAATCACAGAATCAGTTCTCTTAGAACTGCTGAACAACTCCACACAGTTTTAGGCTTTAGCCATGCAGTTAGCACCATGCTAACTGGTGGGGTAAAAGCTGCTATTCCTTGTTAACAGTTACAGTGCTGCTTGAAAGTTTGTGAACCTCTTATCATTTTGTGAATTTCTCCAAATATTTGGCCTAAAATATGATCTTCATTTAAATCATAATAATCCATAAAGAGAACCTAATAACAACAGGTAAAACAAAAAAGTACAGCTTTTCATTAATTTACTGAACAAAGTGATTTAACATTAAATTTCAGCTGCACAACTCCTGTAACTGTCGATCAGCCCTGCACACTGACTTACGTTAATCTGTAATATTTCAAGATGCAGTATTTTATCTGCTTTAATCATTCTTTGATGACTAACTGGTGTTTTTGAGGTCACTGTCTTGATCCACCTTCTGTTGAGGTTCAGGTCATGGATGGATGCCCTAACATTCTCCTCTAGAATTTCAGCCCCAAACCATAATACTGCCACCACCATGTTTCACAGCTGAGGTTCTTATGCTGGAATGCAGTGTTCCGTTCAAACATACCATTCCTCATTTAAGCCACAAAGATCTATTTTTGCCTTATCTGTCCAAATTGTTTCAGTAGTCTTCTGGGTCATCCAGGTGATTTTTAGGAAACTTAAAACAGGCAGGAATGTTCTTCCTGGAGAGTAGTGGCTTCCTCAATGCTACCATTCCATATGTACTATTGTAGCTCAGTGTTTACCTGATCATGGATTCATGAACACTAACGTTATCCAGTGTAGGAGGAACCTGCAGATCCTTAGATGTTGTTCAGGGGTTCTTTGTGACCTTCCAGAATATTCTACGCCTTAGTCTTGGAGTGATTTCTGTTGGATGACCACTCCAGTGTAGAGTAACAGTGGTGTTGAATTTTGATTTTGGTGATGAAGACTCAGTCTGATGTTTTTATACAGGGTACGGTCAGCCACACTCACACCTGATTGTCCTTCAACTGATTGAAAGTGATCATTCTAGAGGTTCACATACTTCACCAACAGAGACATTTGATGTTGGATCATTTTGTTCAATAAATAGATGAAAAACTATCTAACTGTTTGTGTTATTTGTTTGCTTGGGTTCACTTTATCTATTGTTATGACATAAATGAAGATCTGATCGTCTAGAAGTTCACAAAACCATAAAGTTTTCACAAAAAAACAAAAACTAAAGAAGCAGAGACTCAACATGTCTGATTGACTACATTTGGGTAATTTGGGGGAAACTGACTCTGGCTGAAGTTTTCCATGTAAGGAAAAAGAAAATTAGCTTGTGATTTCAGATAAAAGTCAGGCCACAACCACGAGTTTATACACTGTTCCTGGCCACGAGTTTACACACTGTTCCTGACCACGAGTTTACACACTGTTCCTGACCAAGAGTTTACACACTGTTCCTGACCACGAGTTTACACACACACTCTCTCTGCCTGACCACAAACTTTCACAAACACACTGGCTGATTGCGAAGGGTTCATGCCCACTTCTTCAACTCCATAAACTGGTTTAAACTGGTTCTGACCGTTGTGACCCGGGTGAAGGAGAAGATGGAGGGATGATGAAAGAGAAGCTCCGTGTCAGTTGCGTCCTCTCCGTTATTAATCACCACCACGGAGAGATTCAAGGGAAAATCTTGAATGTTCACCACCATGTCCCTGAGAGACAGAGACAGCAGGACACACGTTTTCATGAGCTTTATAATAACAAAAAACATGAATGAAAATGTTCAAGCTCCGCCCACAAATGTGTTCTAAATGTAGGTATTGTGATATAAACTGAGTCTGTTCTACAGTTTCTCATTAGGCTGAATGAATAACTGACTCTAAATGTAGGTATTGTGATATAAACTGAGTCTGTTCTACAGTTTCTCATTAGGCTGAATGAATAACTGACTCTAAATGTAGGTATTGTGGTATAAACTGAGTCTGTTCTACAGTTTCTCATTAGGCTGAATGAATAACCGACTCTAAATGTAGGTATTGTGATATAAACTGAGTCTGTTCTACAGTTTCTCATTAGGCTGAATGAATAACTGACTCTAAATGTAGGTAT